AATAGACATACTGAAAATTAGAGCTTTTTTAAGAAATGTGCATCTGTTCAAAACGTTATTGGTATATTCCAAAATAATTTCAATAGAATGGTGACAAAATCCAAACACAAAATAAATGTCAACATATTATGTCACATACGTTAAAATACGGCGTTTTGACGTTATTACGTTCACTTGCATAAAAAAATAATTTAATGTGTCAAAAGATTTTTTAAAACTTACTCTTAAGGCTGATAAGCCTGATATGGATAAACAAAATCATACCAATAATGATTAAGGCCATTCCAAGTTTTTTTTCTATGTTTAGCGTCCGCGTGCGCCTTGGTTTTTAACACCCATATAAGAAAAAAACACACAAGATCAGGAGTCCTGAAATTGATTAATTCAGTTGAATTTTTTTTTGTCAATTTCTCTAAATAATTCTGTACAGTAAGATATATTGGGTGTATTTTAAACATTTAATCCCTTGTTTTTGTTTGAGAATAGATATTTCTTCTATTACAGCAGTTTAGTTAGATCAAATCATTTGAAGGGCGTCATTTTTATGACTTTTAAGCCTGTGTTTTGTGTTTTGGCCTGTTCGTTTTTTGCGAATAGGTAGGTAGGTTTTTGAAAGATGGGTGGACGCTAAACAGAGAAAAAACTTGGAATGGCCTAACTTTAACAACAATTTGATATCTGATATACAATGCATCAGTAAACAACCCTGTCAGGATCTGTTCAAAAGACTCATCACCCATAGTTTGCATTAAAAAAATCGAGAAAAATGTCACAATCCAAAATTTATAAAATTAAGGATATGCTTTCAAATTTGAAGTCCCTGACAACAGTGTGTCAACTTTATATTTGATGCTGGCAAAGCGTTCAACACGGGCAGTTTGCATTCGGTAGTCCATGCAATATTGAGCGGCGGGGGGGGGGGGGTGTTGGAGGTTGTGATTTAGATTAAGTATCAGATTTCTTTACTAGCATATTTATAATTTCATTTTGTCATTAACCCGATAGCATCGTTTAAAATACTTCATCATGCTCGGCAAACTTCGGCCCATTCATACATGTACCTCATCTAATTTGACATCTGATATAGTTTGAACACAGGAATCACCCAAGGTTTGCCGAATGGACCTCATAATAAGTTAAACAAGATTTTGATAAATGTTTTGCTCATAATTGCTGAGGACCTTTTCAAATTTACTAATCCCCCCCCCCCTCGACATCACAATCACACAGCACATACTTTTTGGAATAGGCTAGATGGAACAGTTTTGTTAAAACATCGTTTGTTATGAATTAATTTAAAATTTGCTCTTGTACTATACATGTTAACATGTAAATTTCTACATCACATCACGTTGCGTCACCCATTATCATATTTTTAGATTAAACTCCATTCGGCACACCTCGGCCGATTCCCACTTCATCTGATAAGGTGGCGGAATCGACGGCACGAAGGTTTGCCGAATGGAATAGCATTAGCAGTTTCATGCTGCAGTCTGGTGTGCATTGGATTAATATTCATTTTGTGTTATAATTGGATTATATATTTCATGAAGTTGACAAGACCTATGGAGGTCGGTAAGTACAAGTTTAAGTATAGTGGGGGGTAAAATAAACCCAAACGATTAGGTTAAAATTCAAAAAGGGTCAAAGATCATCGCATGCCACACTACACGAATTTCATATTGTGAAGTTATCTCCCGTTGTCAATGTGACATTCAGTTACTGCCAATACTGGTGCGGATCCAGAATTTTTTTTCGGGAGTAGGGAGGTGGGTTCACATCTCAGTCAAAAACTTCCAGCCCAGAATTTCCTGACAAGCAGGAGAAAAAAAAACTAAAAACAAATAAACGAAACAAAAACAATGATAGTGGGGTCAATGTTTCCTAAGTTAGGGGGAGGATGTCCAAAGTCATTTTTTATTTGCTTCAGTATATAATCTTATATTCCAGAGGGGGGGGGGGGGGGTCCTATCTCCCTACCCACTCCCTGTCCCTGAAATAGTATATTTTTTTCCATTTGACTAATTATGCATATTTTGTTTCTTGTGTTTATATTATGTCTGTCTATTTGTCTGCAGAAATTATAACCTTGCCCATAAGTTTTAAGTGGGATGGGCTATACAAATGGCTTCCACATTTTATAGGTTTATTTCTTGTGACAATTAAGACCTTTTATTTGGGTACCATTAATTTTTACCTCTGATCGCTTGACCTAGGATACACATTTTTACAAGAAAAATACCAAACCTTAAACTTGGCTTAAATTTTGATCAGTAGGTGCTAGGGCTTTCATGCTTAACATGTACTGTATTCATTGTGAACTGTCAACAGGTTTAAATATGTTTGACCTTGACCCTAGAGTTTGAACCACTTAAAAAAAATTAACCTTGGCAATTAACTTTTCAACAAGAAGTACTAGGGATTACTTATTTCACATGTGCATTCCTTGTGACAAGACTTTCTTCTGATATCAACAATTTGAACCCTTTGACCTTGACCTTTGAGTTTGACATATATTTGAGAAACTTCAACCTTCGCCATAGGCTTCCATACAGGGACATCAGTGTTTCACAAACACATCTTGTCTTCATCATTATTTGGTGCTGTCTCCATATGAGGGAAAAATTCCTGAGAGAGATGTATTCACAACAAACAAACAAATTACTAAAGAAAATATAAAACATGAATATATTGGTCATGCATATCTCTGCATGAAAAAAACAGCTTTTCAAAACTGCAACCATATTGTAACCCTTTCAAAACACTCATTTGAGCTTTTCTGGTTTCCTTATCATATAACGTCTGTCGTGACGTGTCGTCCATCTGTTTGTCTGAAAAGATTTTACATTTTTAACTTCTCTAGAACCACTGGGCCAATTTTACCCAATTCATATAGAAATATGTACATTTGTATGTCAGACTGTCCATCTGTCTCAATAAATTTAACCTTGGTCATCACGGTCATATCTACTGAATGAGAAGAGACAAGGCATTCATATTAAACTTATGTACTAGTATTTACCTGTGAGAATGGCATGGTGATTTTTGTTTTTTTTTACATATGACCTAGAAGTTTGACCTACTTGCAAAAAAATTAAATTGTTATAAATTCATCACTTTGAAAGAGAAAAAGTTAGGGCATTCATATTATAATGCATGTATATTATTACTTGTGATAAGATCTTTCCAAATGAATCATGACTTTTACTCTGTGACCTTGACCTTGAAGTCTAACCTACTTTTCAAAAATGTTGCATTTGCTTATAACTTTTGATTGAGATGAGATATGACTCTCACATTTGACATGTACATTAATTACTCATAAGAATTCAAGGTGTTTCCCAGCATGCGATGCTTTTTTACCCCTTGACGTTGATGTTTTACATAATTTTCAAAATATTTAACTCTCCTAAAAGATGATTAGGCTTCTGAGTAACATTAAGGAGGACTTCAGGAAAGACAGGACTTTTTGCACAAAAAACGTCATTTTTCCACCCCCATTTGACCCCCGGGGAAAAAATCAAAATTACGAAACCCTACTGCACATCTACATAACACCACCAACCATCTCCCAAAAGATGATTAGGCTACTGTGTAAAATGTAGGAGAAGTTCAGGGAAGACGGGGCTTTTTGCATAAAAAACGTCATTTTTTGACCCCCATTTGACCCCCTGGGGCAAAATCAAAATTCCGAAACCTTACTGCACATCTACATAACACCACCACCCATCTCCCAAAAGGTGATTAGGCTTCTGAGAAAAAAGTAAAAGGAGTTCAGGGAAGACTGGGCTTTTTGCATAAAAAACATCATTTTTCAACCCCCATTTGACCCCCCGGGGCAAAATCAAAAATCCGAAACCTTACTCCACATCTACATGACCCCACCAACCATCTCCCAAAAGATGATTAGGCTACTGTGTAAAATGTAGAATGAGTTAAGGGAAGACGGGGCTTTTTGCATAAAAAACGTCATTTTTCGACCCCCATTTGACCCCCCAGGGCAAAATTAAAATTCCGAAACCTTACTGCACATCTACATGACACCACCAATTATCCCCCAAAAGGTGATTAGGCTTCTGAGAAAAAAGTAAAAGGAGTTCAGGGAAGACTGGGCTTTTTGCATAAAAAACATCATTTTTCAACCCCCATTTGACCCCCCGGGGCAAAATCAAAAATCCGAAACCTTACTCCACATCTACATGACCCCACCAACCATCTCCCAAAAGATGATTAGGCTACTGTGTAAAATGTAGAATGAGTTAAGGGAAGACGGGGCTTTTTGCATAAAAAACGTCATTTTTCGACCCCCATTTGACCCCCCAGGGCAAAATTAAAATTCCGAAACCTTACTGCACATCTACATGACACCACCAATTATCCCCCAAAAGGTGATTAGGCTGCTGAGTAAAATGTAGAAGGAGTTCAGGGAAGACGGGACTTTTTGCATAAAAAACGTCATTTTTCGACCCCCATTTGACCCCCCGGGGCAAAATCAAAATTCCGAAACCTTACTGCACATCTACATGACACTATCAATCATCCCCCAAAAGGTGATTAGGCTGCTGAGTAAAATGTAGAAGGAGTTCAGGGAAGACGGAACTTTTTGCATAAAAAACGTCATTTTTCGAGCCCCATTTGACCCCCCTGGGCAAAATCAAAATTCTGAAACTTTACTGCACATCTACATGACACCACCAACCATCTCCCAAAAGATGATTAAGCTACTGTGTAAAATGTAGGAGGAGTTCAGGGAAGAAAAGTGTGACAGACGGACGGACGGACGGACATGAGTAACAACAATATACCCGAACTTTCTTTAGAAAGTGCGGGTAAAATGATGGCACTGGGTCTTTGTATCCTTTATTTAGTTTGGGTGTTGTTCAGAGTTTTAAAAAAGTATATTATAAATGTATGTTATCTGGAGAGATAATTATTTATTTAGATAAAATTGTAACTGGTTACAATTTATTTGACCAAATTGATTTAACTAGTTAACCATTGCCAATCACTAGATCGTATACATTTTTATTACATTTATGCTTCGAAAAAAAAAATCAGATGAAAATATTTAACGACATACCCAAGGCAACACAGCTTCTTTTATTCCAAATGCTGTTGGTACGCTGCAAAAGATGAGAATTTACACACTGACTATAAAAAAAGTTTGATTCCTAATTTCACGATTAAAGAGATAGAAACTTATACTTTGATTTAATAATGGAAGTCTCAAATGTATATCCGGCAGCATCTAATTTCAACAAAGAGTTCAAGGTCATCCATTCACCGTTTCCTTCCCTGGTAATAATCAAATTCTCTGTATTCTTGGATCCTAAAGAGTAAATATTATCAAATAAATATTTAAATTCATTTCATATGTTTAATTCATTTCATATGTTTCTTGAAAATTGGTATCATTGATATTCAAGTACGATAACTGTTAGCAAGATGACCTTCATAAACTATTGGCAAACTGATTTCAACGGGGCGACCGGTGGACTTTGTGATATATACATGAATGAATGGACAAATCTGTCTCTCGGGCAAGTCCATCTGAAAATAATGACTTTATTAAGTTTTCATACACCATACAAGTGTAAGTATGAATTTAAAATTGATAGTGATTAATGAATGTCCCTGGCATACCCAACAAATTTGACAGTGATTTCTTTATTTACATGTACATTTGATTGTGAAATAAAATTGTAATAAATATAGATTTAAAGAATCTGCTCTAATTGATCTAAATTACTCGAAGCCTCCCATGTCAATCTCAATAGTCCCCGCATAATGTCAATGCCTCCTTTACTCCCGCCTTTTCGCTTGAACTTACCCTTCAGGGTAATGATTTGATCAAATTTGGATATAGTGACACGGAAATTGTGTTTGTTGGTTTAATTTTTATGTCAATGCTTGCCTAAAATTTTACATTTTATGCATGGGTGAGGTACACGTTCATTAAGTGAACCATTCATGTAGAGCAATACAATGTCATAATTTTATTGAAAAGGTCAACTTACCATTAAATAGAGCTCACAATTATCATCGACACATTCTGGTGGAAATGACATACGTATTCTTTTGTCCGCCTGCATATAGATTGAACAACTTTCTTTTCTTATCTGATGTATTTCTATGTCCGGGAAAAACGACAAGGTTTGTTCTTTGAGAATTGTATTCCCCTGTCTTCCTGTCACAAAGCAGTGTGTTGGAAGTTTCGGAAGAACGCATGATAATTTCTCATTTCTCTAGAAAGAGTTTATTGAAAAGGTAAAAATGAAATATATTATTATTAACTATATTCTTTAAACAAGCTAATGCCAAAATACAGCATTTAAGCTTACGAAATATTACTTACATGTAGCATTTGGAAATATGTTTATACATTATATAAATGATGCCTATCTTTAAAGGTAACAATTGAATTTCAACTTGTACCCTACAAAACAGGCGCACATTATAAATTTTATTTTACTTAGTTCTATGGTTCATTTAGGATGTCAGCTAAAAGAAAATTGTTGATCTTCTTTACGTACACATATTAAAAGCTTTCAAACTCCCCGCTTCTATTTTTCTCAATAAGAAATCTTTGAAAAAGATTTACCGACTTTTTGTTTATTTTATACTCAAAAACTCCTTTATCGTCTAAAGCTTTGTTATTTTTGCACTTGAGCTCACAAGCTTGTTTTGTCTCTCGCTTGTTCCGACGTAAGCTACATCGAAAGCCAGCTTTACTGACGTCAAGTTTATGCGGCTTTAAACGCACAACTGACGTTTTGAGAAGTATGCGCATGATTTGCAAGCACTTAACATTTTAAAATGTTACCCCTTGTCGAGTGTGTTGTTAACGCTGAGAGTAACATTTTGGATCGTTAAATGCATCTCAATCAATCAAGTTTTAGCATTTAACATGAAAGTATATAATAAAAAAACGGAAGTCTCTGTCGAGACTGTAGCTCTACTGGTTTGTACTTATGATAAAGGAAGAGAAAATTAAAGTAGCAGTTGGGACTTAAAACTTTATAAAAGCAATAAATAGAATAATGATCCTCTTTTTGTGGCAAGATTGCACTAAGACTAGAATACAACTGGAGGAGTAGCTTTTTATAAAATTTTACAGAATTTTCAATTTAAATTACTATGGCAACATCAATCATCAAAATCAAAAACACAAACCTGATCACTATGTATCTCAGTGAAATCTATTTGCATGCCAAATTATATTACAATCAGGCTCAAACTGTATTTGAAGTAGCATTTAAATAGCCAAGCTATATTGAAATCAGACTCAAACTGTAGAAAGAGTAGCATTTTGAATGTTTTTCACAGAAATTTCTATTTTTAGTAATCACAGCAAAACCGTTCATCAACATGAAAAACCGATATACAGAATTATGTATCTTAGTGTAGTCTACTTGTGTACCAAGTTATATTGAAATCATTTCAAAACTGTAGGAGTAGTAGCATTTTGAAAAATTGTTTACAGACAGACAGACGGACGGACGACGGACGCATTACTATCGCATAAGCTCTTCAGGTCTCTGATCAGTAGAGCTAAAAATAAGACATACCGGTCGAAGAGCATATCTATACCACGACTGCCTATCGTCAAAACTACAGATAAGATAATCTTTATCTGTTATGAAATCGTCTTCAAACTCCACAATCGTCTTTCTCTACAAAAATGACAAAACATTCCAGGCAACCTTTCTACTTGAAAAGACAAACATAATGAGTGTACATAGCTGCAAATCTTTAGCTCGCTGGTCTGAAAACATTAGGATGAACGTCTTTTAATATATTTTATAAGTTAATGCAATTTCTTCGGAGAGCAACAGTTTTGCAGCTACACGCAAATTGTACAATATTTAATTTTTTTTACTTGTTAAAATGAATTAAAGTATAAAATATAGCCCTATGAATAATCCTTTATTATGAAAGTAGTCGTAGAACGTAAGTTCATTCCTGTCAACGTTCTTCATACAAAAGTGACTGTCCTAAAAGTGATGTTTTGATAATTCAAGTGTGAATAACTGAATAGACTGAATTTGTTTAATAAACATTTTAAAAGACATTAATCTAAATCTTGTAAATGTTGCAAGAAGTATAAATTTTCTAAATCAAACACCGAAATACAAATTTGATTAAGTCTCTTTTTGTGGCAAGATTGCAATACGACTTCAACTGCAGGAGTAGGATTTAAAAATTTTAACAGTATTATCGATTTAGTTACCTTGGTAACATCGTTAACATCATTCATCAAAATAAAAAGAAACAAGAAAGACTTGTATCTCAGCATAGTCCACTTGCATAGCACATTATACTATAATCAGAAAAATCTGTAATACTTTAATCAAAAACTGTATTTGGAGAAGCATTTTGAATTTATTTCACAAAAAATTCTTTTTTATCTCTACTGGTCAGAGACATTGTTTTTAGAACTTAGTTTCTGCTGGGGTCAATTCAGAATATGGAGATGGTTTCAACCCCAATCAACTTTGGAAAGAACGTGGAGACAGTGTTCAAATGCACAAGTTCACGCAAAGGCTAAAACACCAGTGTTCTTAGTACAATGATATTTTTAAAAATAGTATATTTATATTTTTAAAAGTGATAAATACGGTAAATTTTAACTCTTGATTTTTTTACTGCCAAATAGGTGTATTTATTTCTTAAAATTATCATGTCAAAACGTATTAAACTTTATCAAGGCATGGAACTGTCTGTTATGTAACCTTTTTCTTCTTAAAGCTTTATAAAGCGTTTCTGAGCTGAAAAAAGATAAAAGCACAAGACGAAGTGTAGATTTGCATTTTTGCTATTTACGTTCAAACATTTTCACCGATTTTGAACTTAAATATCCCCAGGTTCTATAGATAGATCACAGGAGTCTGAAGTTTTTATCGTCAAAAAAAAAATCCGAAAAAAAATTCCCATCCTCAACTAAAACAAGAGGCCCATGGGCCACATCGCTCACCTGAGAAGCTTTGACCATGCTGTTCTTTACCAGATTTCCCCCTTATAATACCTTATAATACCTATTGTGACCCCTCCCTACCCCACGGGTCATAATTTGGACAATTTAAAATCTACATTATGGATGCTTCCACATAAGTTTCAGCTTTTCTGGCTCAGTGGTTCTTGAGAGGAAGATTTTCTAAGATTTTTCTTGTATATTTCTATGTACAACTTGGATTCTCTATTGTGATCCCGCCCTACCCCCAGGGGTCATTATTTGAACAATTTTATATCTACACTACCCAAGGATGCTTCCACATAACTTTCATCCTTTCTGGCCCAGTGGTTTTTTAGAAGATTTTTAAATATTTTTTTCCTATATTTCTATGTAAAAATTGGATTCCCTATTGTGGCCCAACCTACCCTCGGGGGTCATGATTTGAACAATTTAGAATCTACACTCCCCAGGATGCTTCCACAAAAGTTTCAGCTTTTCTGGCTCAGTGGTTTTTGAGAAGAAGATTTTCAAAGATTTTTCCTATATATTTCCACATAAAACATGGATTCCCTATTGTGGCCCCGCCCAACCCCCGGGGGTCATGATTTGAACAATTTTAAATTAACAGTACCCAAGGATGCTTCAGAACAAGTTTCAGCTTTTCTGGCCCAGTGGTTCTTGAGAAGATTTTTCCTATACATTTCAATTTTAATCTTGGATTCCCTATTGTAGCCCCGCCCTACTCCGGGGGTTTATGATTTGAACAATTTAGAATCTAGACTACCCCAAGATGCTTCCACAAAAGTTTCAGCCTTTCTGGCCCAGTGGTTCTTAAGAAGATTTTCAAAGATTTTTCCTATATATTTTTATGCGAAACTTTGATTCCCTATTGTGGCCCCGCCCAACCCCAGGGGGTCATAATTAGAACAATTTAGAATCTACACTACCCAAGGATGCTTCCAAACAAGTTTCAAGTTTTCTGGCCCAGTGATTCTTGAGAAGAAGATTTTCAAAGATTTTTCCTATATATTTTTATGCGAAACTTTGATTCCCTATTGTGGCCCCGCCCAACCCCAGGGGTCATAATTGGAACAATTTAGAATCTACACTACCCAAGGATGCTTCCAAACAAGTTTCAAGTTTTCTAGCCCAGTGATTCTTGAGAAGAAGATTTTCAAAGATTTTTCCTATATTTCCATGTAAAACTTTGATTCCCTGTTGTGGCCCCGCCCAACTTCGGGGGGTCATGATTTAAACAATTTTAAATCTACACTACCCACGGATGCTTCCAAACAATTGCACGTTTCAGCTTTTCTGGCCCAGTGGTTCTTCAGAAGAAGTCGAAAATGTAAAAAATGTACAGACGGACGGACGACGGACAAAATGTGATCAGAAAAGCTCACTTGAGCCTTCGGCTCAGGTGAGCTAAAACACCAGGATGGCAACATGTTTTTTTTGGGGGGGGGCTACCTAAACAAATAGATCTGGGTTTTGCCAGAAAAATTTCGCAACTAATTCAGTATCCGGAGTGTTTTTGCTATTTATTCAGGTAAATAAATCCAATCTGCTTGACGACTACCGGCCGTGCATGGCCCTTTTTCCACCTTGACAGTTCAGCCTTGACTCCATGCCACTATACCGGAAGTGAATCCCGCAATGCGTATTTGACGTCTTTAAAAGCATGTCCAAATTAAATAAAATTAATGATAGTTCAACGAAATTTGATTCAGTTATTTTAAATATATTTAAGAGAATTTAAAAAGAGTTATTAATTCTTTTTCTTACTTATAATAACGATATGCACCAGGGGCAGGTAATTCAGATTTAACAAGACGCCAAATTTAAATCATTGAATAGACCATACAACAAAGGGGCAAACAGTTAGACCTTGCGACCTGCTAAGGCTTTATTTTGTTTGAAAAAATATTTCTTTTAACTTGTCACATATAGTAACTTAATATTGTACATGGAGTTTTATGTGCATTCTTCTTTCTTTTCTTCAATTACGTCAAATATTCACTGCGGGATTCACTTCCGGTTCAGTGGTATGGAGTCCAGGATGAGCTGTCAAGGTGGAAAAGGGGACATGCACGGCCCGAAGTCATCAAGCAGGTTGGATTTTTCAACTTAAATAAATAGCAGAAACACAAAGGATACTGAATTAGTCGCAAAATTTTTCGGGCCAAACCCAGATCAATTTGTTTAGGTTGGTCTCCCTTAAATGCATTGTCATCCTGGTGTTCTTTTTAGTTGAGGGTGGAAATTTTTTCTTTCCGGATTAAAAAAAAAAATTTGGCGATAAAAACATCAGACTCTGTGATTAAATTTAATTTAAACTGTGTCTGAAATTTAATTCCGAGTCGGAAATAAATCGGTTATTGTTTTATATCTCGGATATCTATGAAACGCGATTGATTTAAATTGTGCAATACAGGAAAGTTCTATCTATATATACTATATTATAGTAACAAAACAAATACAAAGATTTTTTTTAATTTTAGTTAGTCTGATCTTATCGAAAATACGCCATATATGACTTTAAAGCAAAAAAAAAAGAGACTTGGCTCCTTTATTAAGAACAGATGAAAAAAACTTGCTTTTTCGAAAACCAAATTTTAGGCGTTTCAATTTTTTAAAGACGATTTTATTGGAAACTGTTTTAAAATCCGAATGTAAAATGACTGAATATTTTTCATACATTAAAAAATATACGACACAGATATTTGAGGAACATATCGTCTGACCTTAATACTGAGGAACGGAAGCTATTTATCTGATCGAGCGGAAAAACTTAAAAGAAGTTGTGAGAATTTAAAGTACTACAAATACTACCTTTGTGATGTCATTAACTTTCAGCTAAAATGAAAAAAAAATGCATTACAGTTAATTGAAACAACAACTCTCAATTTAACATTGGACTTTTACGAGGAGCGCTAACCTTTACAATTGACGGCTTCCTTTTACACTAGAAAAATGTACGGAAGCTCTTTTACGATATAAAGATTTAGCTCAACATTTAATTTAATGAAAAAAACGGGTTATTTCAATGCACATACAAGTTGTCTTTGAAGAAAACGACAACCACCCTACCCTCAACTCCCGGCCTTTGCATGTAAGTGCCCCTAACACCATACCTATGACCACTAGAATGATTTTTTTTTAATGTATTATCAATTCTGTACGTACATGATACAAGTTAAAATGTCCAAGTAAACCGTCAACTGTAGAAGTCAGTGCTTCTCGTAAAAGTCCATTATTGAGTAACAACAATAGAAAGTCAAATGTGACTTATTTAACACTTGTAAAACCTGGTGTAGCATACTCAAAAAATCAACCTGAAATGGTCGATCATTTTGAATCTTTAATTCGTAGATCCTTGTCTTAGCAGACTCGAGGAGTTCCTTTATCTCGGAAGGCAGAGGGTAACAACGGTGTGCTAGACTAGAACACTGTATTTCGGGTACCTCAGATAGATTGACATCAGGGAAGTAGATTGTGAGTCGAGGATTTTTTAAAAAGGCACAGAAAAATCTGCAATACAAATGAAATTTTTGTTAGTACCAAGATTTAGAAACAACTATATAATGACGTTTGTCGAGATTTTGCAAAGTCTGCGGATAGAAGTTTGATCGATTGTATATCCTGTTTAACGTTCCATTCGAATATTTGTCACTCATAATTCAGACCATTTAATCGGCACTTTAGGTCATTTGAACAGTAATGGTGATTGACCTTTGTCGTACCAATGGTTGCCGTGACATGGAACCTAGGTTTTTAAGATTTCATTCGAAGGACTCGCATCCTTCATTTTAAAATGCCGAGCTCCTAGAAAGGGAAAAGTAGCTACAATTTATATTAGATCAGTCGCGGCCGAGACTCCAACTCAGGCTTTCCGATCAGGGAGCGAGCTCTAAACTGATTGAACAACCGTTAAGGCTATGATAAGGATAACATAAAGTTATAATTTGGACTTTCTCAATTGTTCACACCACATGTCTTTATATCATATAATTTTTTTATATGAACCCTTTAATGCTTATAAAGATGACGTGTATATTTTTTCCGCTTTTTTTCTTAGAGAGTTGCGCGGAAAACATCATATTTCAATTGATTTTTCCACACAATAAAACCCCAATGCATTAATAATTAAAATTTAAGACATGAAACTTCTGGAAGATTTTTACTTAACATGCCTGAAGTAGCCGAGGACGGTGCATATCATTTTCTTTAGACTTTTTTTTCAAATTCAGGAATGTTTAAACTTGATAACTCCATTTTTTCCAGAAACGGTGCTTTTATGAGTCTCCCGCGTTTTATTGTGATGAAATACTTTGTTTGAGGTAAAAGATACCACAGAGTGTTTCATATTAGGATATTTAACTTGAAAAAGACGTTAGTGGTAATCTAACAACCAAGCTGTGTGACAATATCGTTGCCCACTTTTATCACCTTTACTGCTTATCCATAGTAACCACATTTGTACCAGTGCGAACTAGAAAATACTTATTACATACATGTAGTAACTACAAACGCGATAAGCAATCTATAAACTAATAATTTTTGCATTAAACATTAAAATATCTGTACCAGAGTTCAAACATATATTCCGCTTTATAACACAAGGTAAAAAGAAACCAAAAATGCAAACCAAAAATATATAAAGAAAAACGGAATTAATATATAAAGGAAAACCAAAAATATATAAAGGAAAACCAAAAATATATAAAGGAAAACCAAAAATATATAAAGAAAAACCAAAAATATATAAAGAAAAACCAAAAATATATAAAGAAAAACGGAATTAATATATAAAGAAAAACGAAATTAATATATAAAGAAAAACGGAATTAATATATAAAGAAAAACGGAATTAATATATAAAGAAAAACGAAATTAATATATAAAGAAAAACGAAATTAATATATAAAGAAAAACGGAATTAATATATAAAGAAAAACTAAATTAATTTATAAAGAAAACGGAATTAATATATAAAGAAAAACAGAATTGATATATAAAGAAAAACGAAATTATTTAATAAAGATAAACGAAATTATTAAATAAAAAGAAGAGTGAGGGAGAAAGAGAAAACATCAACTGAAACAAATACTTCAATCTAATGTTTGAAGTAAATTGTCAATAATTGTTCAGCGGTATACGTAATTTGTTGATGTGTAGCATTATGCATAGAGGATCATGAGGGTGGATGTTTCTGCTTGATTGAAATCAATGACATCCAATTCAAATCGCTTGAATCGCTGAAAGGTCAAGACCTTGCTTATCGTATTAAAAAATTCCCTCCGGAATAAGCCTAGCGCCCCATCTGTATATTCATAAATCACGGGTTGTTGAAACAAAAACGAGGATGATTTGATTACTTCGTGACTATTTTTACTTCTACATTCCCCTCATTTCATAAGGACGTCGCAATACAAGAACACATTTCTAAAATGGCATTTTGTTCTTCTTGTGGACATTTCTAAAATTCTTCGTCCAGCATGTCCCTGTCTGGCGCTGAAGACACACTCACTGTGGAATGAACCACGCGCGACTGGAACCCTTATCCTCGCGATTTGTTTTGTTAAACTTATCAACGATGCTATCTTAACTTAATAATTTCGTTTTTAGCTCACCTGAGCTGAAAGCTCAAGTGAGCTTTTCTGATCACATTTTGTCCGTCGTCTGTCTGTCCGTCTGTAAACTTTTCACATTTTCGACTTCTTCTCATGAACCGCTGGGCCAATTTCAACCAAACTTGCCACAAAGCATCCTTGGATAAAGGGGATTCAAGTTTTTCAAATGAAGGGCCACGCCCTCATTCAAGGGGAGATAATTGGGAATTAATGAAAATTTGATGGTATGTTTTAAAAATCTTCTCAAGAACCACTGTGTCAGGAAAGATGAAACTTATGTGGAAACATCCTCAGGTAGTGTAGATTTAAGTTTGTTCAAATCATGACCCCCGGGGTAGGGCGGGGCCAAAATGGCCGACCAAAGTTTTACATAGAAATATATGAGAAAATTCTTTAAAAATCTTCTTCTCAAGAATTGCAAAGACATAAATGTTCATATTTATATGGAAGCATCCTCAGGTAGTGGAGATTCAAGTTTGTTCAAATCATGACCCCTAGGGGTAGGGCGGGACCACAATGGCCGACCAAAGTTTTACATAGAAATATACAGGAACATTCTTTAAAAATCTTCTTCTCAAGAATAGCAAAGCTATAATTGATCATCTTTATACGGAAGCATCTTCAGATAGTGTAGATTCAAATTTGTTCAAATCATGACCCCCTGGGATAGGACGGGGCCACAATGGCCGACCAAAGTTTTACTTAGAAATATATAGGAAAATTCTTTAAAAATCTTCTTCTCAAGAATAGCAAAGTTATAATTGATCATATTTATATGGAAGCATCTTCAGGTAGTGTAGATTTAAGTTTGTTCAAATCATGCCCCCCCCCCCCCCCCGGGGGTAGGGCGGGGCCACAATGGCCGACCAAAGTTTTACATAGAAATATATAGGATTTTTTTTTAAAAAAATCTTTTTCTTATGAATTGCAAAGCCATAATTGGTCATATTTATATGAAAGCATCCTCAGCATGTGCAGTCTCAGGTTTGTACAAATCATGACCCTGGGATGGGGGGGGGGGGGGGCGAGCCACAATGACCAATAAAGTTTTACATAGACATATATAGGAACATTCTTTTAAAATTTATGTTCTAAATAATACCAAAGCCATGATTGGTCATTGGATTGCTTTTGGATTTAAACTTTTTAATAATAAACCAATTTCTATACTTTTTCCTAGCCACAGTGCTCGGGTGAGCGATTGGGCCCATGGGCCTCTTGTTCTTTATTTAATGATTTTGTTTTTCTTTATTTAATAATTTCGTTTTTCTTCATTTAATAATTTCGTTTTTCCTTTATTTAATAATTTCGTTTTTTCTTTATTTAATAATTTCGGTTTTCCTTTATTTAATAATTTCGTTTTTTCTTTATTTAATAATTTCGTTTTTTCTTTATTTCTGGTTTGCACTATTGGGCTTTGTAGAAGCCCATTAGAGCTCAGCTAGAAGGTCACGACCTTGCGTATCGTATTACTGGATTCCCACGAACTAAACCTAGCGTCCGAATCTGTGTACCCATAAATCTTAGATTGTTGAAACTATAAGAAAAATGATTTCATTACTTTGTGGGATTTGTTATTTACAAGTGTGTGCATTGTCACCGACTTATAAATACACAAATTGAGAGTTTGTCATTTAAAATATATGAGAACAAGAACTATAGTACCACTGACTCATAAATAGTACATATTGAGAGTTGGACATTTATAATATGTGAGAGCAAGTACTTAGTAGCCAGTACATCACCTCTAATTATGCGTTGATAAGATCAAAGAATCAACTGAAGGTGATTTGCTTTATTTCTAATATAGTAAACAATCATAAAAATCTACTTGTAACCACTTTGACTTGTTTTACTTTTTGCACCTGTTCTCTTTAAACAATTTTTTTAAAAATGTCAAACAAACCCAAGTCCGATCGATAACGTATTATTTTACAACATTTTTAATGAATATATTGTGCGATAGTTGAATAATGGATAAGGGATTCCTGAATGTTAAATGTTGTAAACAACAGAATCTTAAAGTTCATGTTTTCTTAAATAGTTGTGCAATTAGATATCAAAGATTAAATTCTCCCCATTCATGTATTGTAATGGATGTGTTTTCGATATAGGAAAAGGTGAATGTAAAGGCAAACACCACGCTTGTTTATTGTTGAAACAAAATCAGGTCTATCAGACGCGGTGCACTAATGATTTATGGGATCAGACCCTTACCGTGCACCTCAATAAATTCCGTATTTTAGTTGAAGTTTTTCTACTTTTAACAATTTCGTTTTTCTTTATGTAATAATTTCGTTTTTCTTTATATATTAATTCCGTTTTCTTTATATTAATTTCGTTTTTCTTTATATATTAATTCCGTTTTTCTTCATATATTTTTGGTTTTTCTTTATATATTTTTGGTTTTTCTTTATATATTTTTGGTTTTCCTTTATATATTTTTGGTTTTCCTTTATATATTTTTGGTTTTCCTTTATATATTTTTGGTTTTCCTTTATATATTAATTCCGTTTTTCTTTATATATTTTTGGTTTGCACTAATGGGCTTCCGTAGTTTTTCAAAAATCTGTTCGAAAAGTAATTATCGGTATTAATAGGACATTTTTATAAAAAGTCTAGTTTGGCTCTCCTATAAAAACCATGTAAGAACACTGGTAATATTGGTTGGCGGATATGTATATTAGTAATTAGAAATAACACATTGTCGCCCCATCCTATCGCCGGGAACCATCGTGGTTCTAAAGAATTAGAAAAAGTGAAAAGTGTACAGACGGGCGGACAAGCGAACTACAGACCAAAAATGATCAGAAAAGTACAAGTCTTTGTATTGCAAACCGACAAAAGTAAATAAATGAAAAATTGATTTTAGTCAAGTAGAAAAAAAAAGATGTGATGACTGATTTTCTATAAAAAAAAAAAAAAAAAAAAATCCAAATCGTTTTTCCAGTCCCGTTGGATTTTAACATTCATCAAAATTTCTAATATAAATTGTTAAGTGTCATGAAAGATAATGCGGCCCTTCATTTGAACAAACTTTCATGTCCCTTACCCAGAGATTTTACGTTTCTATCGGTTAAATTTACCTAAAGGTTTTTAAGAAGAACTCTACTCAAACGAAGAAAGCCAACAGAATATTTTGAGACTTCGGTTCAGGTGGGCTAAGAAAAATTACCGACAGATGGACAGATATTCAGAAAATCACAGAAAAATTCAAAAATCCCATCTTGTCAATGTAAGGGATGTTTTGAGGGGCAATATTAGTAAAAAATAATATTACTTGTATCTCATTCCAGTTTTTTTGCTGTAGTCTGCAGTGACATCTAATGCCATGTTCATATTCCATCGCAGAGTTTTAGTGAGGTACATGTAAAGCATGCAAGCAAGTACCTTCATAAACCGATATTCATCGTGGCATTTCAACTTGATATGCTGATCTAAAATGTCCAGCTATTATTGGAAAGAAAAAGAAAAAAAATTATGTTTTGAACAATATATAGTTAGATTACTTGATGGTTTTTCATAATTTAGTTACTGTTATTTCACGTTAAAATGGCATGAAAGGCATGCAACATATGATGAAAAAGAACAATCGTGACAGGAAATAACGACGCATACATCATAATAAAAATTATATTAATTTTTTAAACAGGGTTCAATAAATGTGACAGTCGATCAGAGACCAAGCTATCTATTAGTACATGTAGTAGTAAACAGAATTTTAAAATGAAGTTTGGTAGTAATATATAAAAATGTGAAGAAACAAAACAAAGCAAACAAACAAAAAAACTGTAATTGTATTGTAAATGTATTTCATTAGCAAAAATAGGTACCCAAATTGAGTTCTACATTTTTGCTTTTTTTTTTAATGGAAGCAATTTCAAGGCCTCTCCAATGATTCTACAGGGGTTATGACGGGGATGTTTCTTTTATCAAATGTCATGCAAAAGAAATAACCACAGATGCATTTTTTTTTCGAAAATGTGGTCAAACATGAAGGTCAAAGGGTAAAAAATTATAGCATGTTCAGCTATCTTGTTACAGGAAATGCACGAGTCAAATAAAAAAGCTTCATTTTTCTTTCGTTCATTCAAAAGTTATGACAAAGGTTAAAGTATTTGAAAAGAAGATCAAAATTCATGATTGGGGTCGAAAATCACACTGTATTTAGAAAGGTATTGTCACAGTTAATACATATGTCTGATATATTGTATAATATGAAAGCCTAACCTTTTTTTTTTAAAGTAATGGTAATTTTAAAGTTTAAAAAATTTTCATATATGTAAATATTACTTAAGTTAGTAATTTGATAGAATTTCAACTGATACGTGAGTTCAGATACGCTACAAACATGTGATATAATGGATTTAACTTTAAAGTATTGCCGATAATGTCATAAGAGTAAATCGGTTACCTTTTGCAGCACATCCTCCGGAAAAGATTGAGGAAATGACTCTAAATGTAAAAATTGAATAACGTTAATTAATATCTTTTATTTGAAAAAGTGTTTTTTTTCTTTGTTGCATGGAATAACAATGTAATAAAAAATAAATAATAACCAAGAATATTTAGTTAATATAAATACGGTGCGTACTGACAAGACTCTTTTTCAGTCAGATTTTTAAAGAACGGAATTTTAAGGTATCCGACCCACATAAGCCTCAGATTCAATGGAATTTAACGAGTTACAAATATGTTTGGGCTGAATACTCAGTATATTAAGAAATAAATTTCTTGTTTTAGTATCAGTATGATAGAACAGGGCGTGATCTAATTTATGACCCTGCCCTGTCCGTGAAGAGTTAGTACACTTTGACTTTTCTAAATAAAATCGATTCTAAAAAATATATCTGGTGAAAAAATAATTTTCAATCATTTATCTTTTTCTTATGATGAAATGCATGTTTTTACCAATTGAAGCATTTCTTGATATTCATATACATAGTTTTTATTTTTTGTTATTATTTTACTTCTTTCCATAGACTTCAGTGCAATCTTAAACAATTAATTACTGCTTTGGAAATAAAGATTTTCCCTTGGTAAATCCTTTTATACTATAAAATGTTTTGAAATTACATCGGAGTATTTTATACACAATTTATTTTTAAGGTTAGAAAATTTGGTCCTAATATAGGTCGGATACCTTAAAAGTTTGATCAAAATGACTGGGAACAGACACTATTTCCTTGCCCAGAAGCCAATAAAAAAGGACCCTAAACGTTCAAAACGGGCACGGAATGTTAATCTTTTCCTGCAAATATATAAAGCTCTGAATTATTTCATATACCGTGTAAATCAACTATTTAATCAGTCAATGAGAAAAACAGAAATGAAGAGCGATAAAAAAATCATTTCAAGAATTACTTCCTTGAAATTATTCTTGTAATGATGGTTCATCCTCATCCCAATTATTTATAATTCTATTTTCTCAATTTTACTTCAATTTCAAAAAGTTATGTACAGAGACAGAGTATTATTTTTAAAAACACCCTTCCCCCTTATAATGTAAAGACCTTCCCATTTAACGTCAGAAATGAATGATAAATACTGGACAATAAACGCAATTCACTAAAATTTTATGTACAGTAACTGCTCATGTAATCACAACATATTGTAAGATATGCAGCATGCGTTTACTGACAAGTTTTAAGTATATGGTATAAAAGGTTATTTTCGCCCCTTAACGCTTGCAAACAATTTTGCCCCGTTTAAATTTCGCCCAGTCACTGTTATTAAAAGAAATTATACTGTATTCTTTTTATTTGCCCCGTTTAAAATTCGCTCATCTGTTAAAAGGGGGGGGGGGGGTTGTCCTATATACACTATATAAATTTCAAGCCCATTTTTTTTTTTATTCCTACCTGCATGTACTTGTCTTTCTAGAAAGATATGAGTGATACGATCCAATTGCCTCCACACATGTTGATTCAATTCATAATCAAACACATCCTCACTTTTATCCGTTTTCTTTTCAGATTCTGGCGAATTAATGTAGGATTCTCTGGTTTCTGACTTCATGAAATATTCAAAGTATGCTTACTTACATGCCTTAAATATTTAGGCATAAGATATTTAATAGGCCATAATTTTCTTTCCTCAACACAATTGTACAACTTTAAATAGAAATGATAATCTGCTATTGAAAACTAGCAGGGATTATATTTTTGGCGGACTATTGGCGTATGAAAATATCTTCTTTTCTGCTTCTCAAAATTATTATAGAACAATGAATTCAGTTATAATTTTAACACAGTCAATGACTTGGAAGAAAATTTCAAATGTAATTTAAATTAATAATAAGGGACAAAATTTTCAAACTACTAGTATATCAAATAAATATGATTTTGCAAATATACTAGAAATGTATAAATTAGCTTTAAAAAGGCCTGAACACAGTTTCAACCGATTTTAAAAAAACAATTTTAATGTTAACAATTCCTATCTAAGGCATCATCTATTGATTAGCAAAAATTTGAACATCATTTATTGATTAAAAAACAAGATATAGAACATAAAGTTCTTCATAATGTAAATAAGGCCCGTGCCTTGTTAATTTTTGTTTACATATAGAAAATATCACATTTCTAAGAAAATGAAGTTCAACAAATCAATAGTAACTGTCAAATTGTATTTAAAATTAACTTTTATTTGAAACCAGGGGCGTAGCAACAGGGGGGGGGGGGCTGCCCCCCCCTTTTTTCAACTTTACTTATACTTTAGGAAATGTTAATAGAAAGCCCCCCACTTTTAGTGATGTACCGAAAATGTAGTATTAGAACTGGTACTGTAAGTAGTTGACACTGAGAAAAAGTTTACCTTCTATCTACTTTAAAGGAACATATATTAGTATATTAACCTGCCTAAACAAAAACATGCCAGTAGCCTTGTTTATATAACAAAGATTTGGAGCTCTAAATCTGTCTTGTATCTGGACAACTGCATTCAAATTTTTGATGATCACTTGAAAGACATTAGTTAAATATTTGTAAAATGGAAAAATAAATTTTGAAAGTTCAGCTGAAACTGTGTCCATGCCCCTTTAAAAAAGCTTCCAGTCTAAGTACGGACTTGAGCCAAAAATCCTTAAAAAGTTTTTTTCTCTCAAAACCAATTGTATTTGTATCATTTTGTATCTTTATGTGACAACTTTACTGCATGTGAAAATAAGAAAGTTTAAATATAGGAAGCATTTAAAAATAACTACAATATCCTAAAAAGTTCAGAAAAGTAGAGAAAATTCGGATAAACCAATATTCTATTTTAGTTAAATCATTTATGTCAATTTAGTTATATCATCTTATAGGCCCTGTATGGTAGTATCATTTTATGTGAAAGGAAACAATTCAATCTTTTGAAATACTAGTAGGGATCGCACAATTGGCAACAGTAATATTTTATTCTTAGGGAAAAGGTAATAACCTTGACTTCACCTTGCATCTAATAAGAATGGGTCAAATTTAATCTCACTGATAAGATCATTAAGTGATATTGTCTTCTTGATTATGTGAAAATTTCATTAAATTGTAAATAAAAGAAAAATATGAGAAGAATCCCACCTTATGCTTTTTCTGCATTGCCTGGACGTCGGCAAAATGGCTGAAAAGAATTGCTATAAACAGGTTTATCCCAATTATTGATATAGTAAAGAAAAACAGGCTTGTAACGATCCTTCCTTCTGTCGAGTTCAAGCTGGAATTTAAACGAAAGGAAATCATTGCAAGTAACATGCGTAGAAGTGTAATAATAGAAGAGTATAAATCCTTAAAATTGTCAGCATGTTTTCCCAATGAGAGATAAAGGTACGATCCAAATGAAACTATTGCCAGTGATATTAAGAATATAGACATGAAAAGATCATATCTGGCCCTTAAAAGGGATTTTTGCAGGATAAAGAAGTGGTAGTTCATCGTCAGCGGTTGAAGAAATTCAAGAACTCCAAAAAAGAAAACCATTCCAAACGCTGTTTTGTATACCAAATCGTACATCTCGACATACTCGAAGGATACGTATGACCCTGAAAAAATAGAATTACAAGTTTTAATGGATCGATTTAAAACAGTTGTTTGCTATAATTAATATTAACTTTTATTGTCTGTTCTTGACCATGCTTACCTTTATTTTCAATGATATCATCCACCGTTTTTATTGTTGAATCTATTCGTAAAATATAAAACACTATCGCGCTAAGACACATTATTATGTCGATTACTGTTAACCAAGAAGAGAAAGATGCCATGCAGGTATGTCTTGTTTTGAAAACATGTATAGCAAAGAATACAAGTCGTACAATTACAACTGTCATGAAAATGAACTGACAAGCTAACACAATATAATCCATACTTGTGACATAAGGATACAAATTCAAAGATTCGGCGGTAGACTTCATATAAATGGAACCGTATTCAGATAATTCAAACACTATTTTCAGATGGGTAAACAATCTAGTGTTCGCGTTAAAGGTGTTGGTTTCGATGAATACCGCTCGTGTGTAGCCGTCTATCCACGAAAGGTTACGAAGTTGACTGATGTACTGATTCACTAACGACTGCTTTGGTCCTAAATCTATCATGTAACCCCCACCTCCGTAGACAGCTAATTCTCCTATATACACCATAGACTTTAATTCTTCTGCTGTACGGTAAACGAAGCTGTTGTCTATGGGGTCATATTCATCAGAGCAATTTTCATTACTGGATATTTGTGGTATCCATCCTTTAAAAAAAGAAACCTATTTCAATGTTGTTATATATGTTATCTCCCCTTAAAGTATTCATATGCCTAAGTTGAATAAATTAAGTGATAATATCCTTTTTAATTAAAGATACCTTTACAATAAAGTGCACTGTCTTCATTTTCTTACTTATAATCTTCGATACATCGTGGGACTGCATTTGTCATTTCCTCAATCGTAGAACAATTCCCTGTAATGATGGACACATAAACAATTATACTGTACAACGTCGACTCGTTATTGTGTCGAGCAGTACTGTGAAGTGTTTTCTTTAAAGAATACTGTTAATGCTGACAGGGGCATCCCTCTGAACGTAATACGTCCTTCCGTACATCCGGAACAAAGAGGTACGCATAATCCATTACATGTATTTTGATCAGACAGATATATCTAAGGTGTCCCTTATAATTAGCAAAACAAGGACACTCCCATTATTTATCTAACATTGGGAATACCCGTCCCCTGTCCGCAACTCACACCGTTCCAGTGAACAAAATCTCAGTTTCCCTTGAAACTTGATACAGTACAATTGTGTTCTATCTATATTATGTTCTGATCCGATATAATTGAGGTGTCCAATACAAAAAAGGAAACTTAAGTTTTTTTACATTGGAGTTTTGTATTATGTTGTAAGTTATGTTCTCATAGTATCTTTAGTTTTTATTAAAATTTGACAAGTTTTCTTCATTAAACATTTCAACTGAATACACAAAAACTGATGTTTTAGCTCTTACTTGACCTGACTTGTCTCAAAATGGAATCCGAGATCCTGTAACTGTATTGATCATACATAAATCTTTGCTCGTATGCAGTTCGCAGAGCCTGGTTTTCGTACCACTTTGGCCACACGTTTGGAATGAAATAAGTTTCTATCCAAACATATATGTCATCTGTGGTGTTTGCCTAAAATATTTAACATTAAAGAAAGCAAAGAAAAAAATGGCAATAATTATATTATGTTTACATGTAAATGTATGAATAGCAAAAGAATTAATATGAACCGTATTACTGTAAGATATGTGTAAATCTTATTGATAGAATTGATATATACCTGCAGGCAGGAAATACTATGCAATGTTTCTAATTAGTTTCTATTTAAACTTACTGTTTATACATAAATAAACTCTTATGAGAATAATTATAGCTTGCATAACATGATGCCAAATTTTGTTGTGTTGTTTACATTTTTTCTAGTCTAGCCTGCCCCTCCCCTAACTACTTGTATTTTTGCTCTGTGTCATTTAATTAAAAAATATTTCCTTTTTAAATTCTACGGTTTTTTTTCTTTTAATTCATCAAAAGAAAAAAAATTAGTTCAGTTGACTTGTGTACGGTGTGTAGAAATACGGTAACAAAAGAACATTTATGCTGTTGTATTTCAGGTAACATCATGCCATCATGTTTCTATCAATATCATAAAGAGGAAATTCGAATATTATACAGAAACGCCTGGATGCAAAATAACAGATTTCAAATATCACTGAATCAGACAAGCACCATAATTAATTTGAAATACAGAAGTCGAAAAATATCTGAAATCACCAAGTCTGGTTCAATTTTTCTTATTTTTATATATTTTATTCTGGAACCCATGTAAAACATTTTGTTGATTTTTAGCTCTACTGGTCAGAGACCAGAAGAGCTTATGCGATAGTAATGCGTCCGGCGTCCGTCCGTCTGTCTGTCTGTCTGTAAACAATTTTTCAAAATGCTACTCCTCCTACAGTTTTGGTCTGATTTCAGTATAACTTGGCACATAAGTAGACTACACTAAGATACACAATTCTGTGCATCGGTTTTTGATTTCGATGAATGGTGTTGCCATGGTTACTAAAAATAGAAATTTATGTGAAATGCGTTCAAAATGCTACTCCTCCTACAGTTTTGGTCTGATATCAATATAACTTGGCACACAAGTAGACTACACTAAGACACATAAATCTGTGCATCGGTTTTTGATTTCGATCACAGGGGCTTGCTCCTGGCGTGTAAAAAATATTTATAAAAAAAAACATAAACGATATACTATAAACTACACAAGGGAGGACGCCATCTTGGACCCCTTCCTCGCTTCAACCCCTATTTCTCTTTTAAATTCAAATATTCCGCTCACTCACCGCCTCAATTGTTTCAAGTAGTCCTTCTTCGAAGTCCTCAGCCATAAATTTCCCCCCAACAACCTCTTACATACATAATTTAAACGATTAATGAGCCGTAACCGCCGAATAGGACAGTTGGTATGGACAGCAACCGAAAGTAGGATGGCCTCGATTTCGCGCAGCCGTTCGGAACTCTCGGAACTCTCCATATAAATAAAGATAACTGCTTATGGTGATAAAGGCGGACTTTTTAAATAAGTACGGGAAAATTTTGAAGAACATGGAAAAATATGCAGCTTCTTGGTATGTAATTTTTAAAAGAATAAAAATATATTAGTGTTTCATTTACACAATCAATGTAATTTTTTAACTCATTCAAAGATTTTTTTCAATAGAAATAATCATAAACAAAATAAGTTTAAGGTAGGGATAAAAGAAAGGTGAAATATGTAAAGAACAGCAAATCAAATGTATAATGCAGGTGAATATGTAAAGAACAGCAAATCAAATGTATAATGCAGTGATTAAATTTGCAACAAATTCAATGTAATCTTTAAAAAAAGGAGACATTGAAACAATATATTAATGCCACATATATTTAATAAACATTTCACCATGTTTACCTTTTACATATCTTATCAGTTTTAATGGATATATATTAGAAAACATCATCACCAGTTTTGCACGTGTTACAGTACCATTCATCCTCAAGTTCAGTTTCGTCTTCAATATGTATACAAGTAAAATGATACCATGTATCACATCCATCACACGCAACACTCTCCTCCTCAAAGTTATTGCCACAAACCCCACATGGCCATGTACTTTTTCTGCTTTTTTTTGCTTTGCCTTTTCCTTTTCACTTTCTTCCTCTTGTTCTTTTTTTTTGGATGTAGAGGGTTCTGCCGGCATTGTAATCTCATCATGATTTCCACCTGCAACTTTTTCACCAGTATTTTCATCCAATTTTTCGCCTTTTTCTTTTCCCTTTCTTCCTCTTGTTCTGGTTTTTTTGGATGTAGAGGGTTCTGCCGGCATTGTAGTCTCATCATGATTTCCACCTGCAACTTTTTCACCAGTATTTACTTCCAATTTTTCTTCTACAGAAAGACTGCCATCTGACGTCAGAATTTCTGGCTGCATCATTGTCTCCGAGTCCATTATAGCCTTGTTTAATGCAACTCTTAAGTCTTTTTTCAACCGATGACCTTTCACAGAAACTCAATAACCTTTACATAGTAGCTCAATTTCAGCTCTAGTGAATTTATTTTCCAAGAAAATGTCATCTTTTAAGTACCAGTCCACATAATAATCAGACAAAGGGTGATATATGAGGGTTCTCAGAATTTGATGATTTTTCACTCATAGAGTTACTTTGAAGTATGAACAATGTATGTAAAATGAAAAATGGTTTGAGTCATGGTAACCATGGAAACCCGGCCAAAGAAATTTCCTTAGCAACCGGCGGATTTTTCAGTGTTGAAGGACAAAAAATCACCTATCTTTGAGGCTTAAAATAAGTCGCAAATACCATGAGAATTATTCTTACTTATGGGTGTAATAAAGATACACATTTATTGTGTTCTAATAATGTAATAAAAAATATTTAGGTCCTAAGTCAGTTCTGTGGTAGACATTGGAAGGTACACATGTTTTACAAGTTTTGCTGATTCAGCATTTTTCGTGATTTTGGCAATATTCAAGGCCAAATTTTAAAAATGGCCAGATTAATACAATTGTTGCATGTATCTCACATAAAAGCAGAGGTATTTCTCTTTTAGAATTTGAAGTCAAATCCATGGGCTCTTTTGAAAATCGAATCTGTTTCCTAGCAACAAAAATGGGCTTTTTGATGCATAAAATGAGAAAAAAATGTAAAAAGTTTACGGAAAAATCAAATGAACGGTTATTTATGATAAATAAGATACAAATTTTAAAATACTATAATCAAATTTGGTCTCCCTAGCACATCATTGAATATTGCATAATTCTTTATCTCCATAGCAACGGCAGGTTCTCCATAGCAACAAGGCAAAGAAAGGTAGTTTTGGCGTGTATTCGTTTAATCTTATTTAGGCTTATACAAATTAAGTTAGAAAAATGTGATTGAGCAAAACTGACAATGAGCTGTTGGTCAATCTTAATTTTTTATCTCCATAGCAACGGCAGGTTCTCCATAGCAACAAGGCAAAGAAATGTAGTTTTGGCATGTATTAGTTTAAACTTATTTAGTCTTATTCAAATTAAGTCAGAAAAATGTGATTGAGCAAAATTGACAATGAACTGTTGGTTTTATTATTGTTATTTTCTTCTTTTTTTTGGTACTTTATCAACCCATATGGCAAGGATTCCGTGTTCATGACAACCAAAGTTCCTAAGTCTCCTGTAAAACAGATTTGACTTTGGGATTGTATTGTTTGTCATGGAATTGGATACTCAAGTAATATGCTGATAATTGCTTGGTGATAGTTCGGTAAGACTTTAAAATGTTGTATCAAGTTATTAAATATTGTTCAATGACTTATTTCCATAGCAACAACACCATTCCCCTGGCAACGACACAAAGAAAGTTTGACGTATATTCATGTCACCTGTAAATCTTTATCTAAATCACGTCATGAAGAAAAAATGATGTTGAAATGTTTGTTTTTCGAAAGTACATGTACGTTTAAACTCATTTAATCCATAACAACTACTTCTAGCACATAGCAAACAATGTTACGTTTTCAGTATCGGATACTCTGTAGTCGTTATTCATAATATTGAAAGATTAGGCACTCGTCACAGATTTCTCAGAAAGTATTACAATGTATGAATTAAATCCTCATGAAAATAAATAGATAAATAAAATGAATAATGTCAATATGGAAACATTTCAAATGATATTTCCAATTGAATATGAAGATCAGGTTTTAATTATTCTATTGATACTTGTCATAGATTGGAGAGTGATTTTTCCAAACGAAAAGAACCGTTCGCGGTAGCTCAAAGGTAGCACCTACTGTGTCCCACAGTGGGATTCGAACCCGCGAAGGAAGGATCAGCTCCTTCCTTCGTAACTCTAGAGAAGACGCTCTAACCACTGCTCCATGAGGGCGACGCGGCACATTAAAATAAACCAAAACAAGCATTAATTCAAAGAATTGTGGTCCCCCGCTTTCGATGTCTTTGTTGATGAGATGTTAATTATTCTTTATGACATATTGTGTCTAATATGAACATCCTATCATAAGTTGTGACCAAAGTTAATTTTTTTTTTTAAAAAAGTAGTTAAAACTCCAATGTCAAGGTCAAAGGGTAAAAATTGTTGGTATCCAATGAAAGATCTTCTCAAAAGGATTACATGTGTGAAGTACGAAAGCCCTAGCCCTCACCGTTCAAAAGTTTTGGTCAAGATTAATGTTTTTTTCATAAAAACGTAAATCTCCAAGGTCAAGGTCAAAAGGTCAAGGTTGTTGGTATCCAATGAAAGGTCTTGCCCAAACAATACATATGTGAAATATGAAAGTCCCTATACCTTCCATTCAAAAGTTAAGGCCAAAGTAAAACTTTGGAATTTTTGTGTAAAAGAGGGTCAAACGTCTAGGTCAAAAGGTTAAATTTGGTGGTACCCAAAGAAAGGTCTTGTCCCAAGGAATACACATGTGAAATATGAAAGTCATAGCTCCACTAAATCAAAAGTTATGGGCAAGGTTAAAGTTTTTGTGACGGACAGACTGACGGACAGACGAATGATATTTAATGTCCCCTTGCTTTCGCGAAAGCGGGGGACAATGAGAAAAGTCGCATCGCAGTCAGTTACAG